TGGGTGTGGTATATTAAAACGTACAAGATGTTCCAGGACAAAAACCTACTAATTTTAAAATACAATAATCAAAACTACTAGTATTATACCATGCCTTTATGTTTGCAGAACACTTCACATACATCTAAAAAACCTTTGTATTCTTAATTTAACAAATACCAAATAAAACGGGTATTTTGATACACATACCAGAACAGAAAAGGAGGATTAGAGATGAAATAGCAGAACTCCATTAACTTTAGATATCTAACTTGGGTTTCATGTCTAAGGTATTTTGTTAAGACTCTTAATCTGTGCAGAGAATGTTGATGTGATCCTACTTCACTATGTGAGGGGTGAAGTTGATTCTTGAGTGTTGAGGAGAAGAGACATTCTTCCTTTCTGCTTTAAGAGAGGACACTTGTGTTTCAACATCTTTTTGGGGGAGATAAAAGATTTTGGGAAGCAGCAGGCATATAGAGGAGCCAGCACTTCAACATGTCCCTGATTTCCAGCTCATCTCCCTAAAAACATCAGGGAATTTCCCGTTGAGTGAGACTGGGGCCTCACTCTTGGTCAAGTGAGATCTCAGCTCACTCCCATCTGAAAAGCTCATATACTCATGTATTTTCTGATATTCTATAAAACTTCTCCGACTTGTGTACTATGGGCTTTGACAAATGGGTTTGCTTTCTAATCACTATTTGTCATGTTGTAATTATATTTTGGTGGGAAGGGTTCACGTTTGTAGCTGTGAGCTTGGGGTACTTTCCCCTGCAAAAGAGAAAAGCCAGGGAAATGTCTTGAACCTAAAAATTGTGCCCCTACACCCAACAACATTTAGGAAGGCAGATAGATATAATTGTAGTCTGGTACTCTCTTCTCAGAGAAGGCCAATGCCATGGCCTCTTCTCCTGCTCTTGTACAGGCAAAAATGGAGAGGGGTTGGCAATGGTCCAGAGTTGTCTGCCTAGGTCTTTTTGTGAGCTGTGTTTAGGCAACCCATGTGGACATACACATCTTACATGGGGAGCACATGCCCTGAACATACTTTTTCTCATTTGAACATCACCATAGTCCTGTGAAGCTGTTACAAAAAGGTATTATCATATCCATTTTTTCATAAGAGGAAACTGAGACTTTAAGAGATTGGTGACTTGTCCACTGTCACACATCTAGTGAGGTCAGAGGAAAGACTTGAATCCAATTCTTTCTGACTCTAAATTGAGTATATTTGTCCATTAATCTAGGCAGTTTCTCTGAAGAGCTCTTCTAGAGGAGTGGAAAAGGGGAAGAGAGGGAGAGAAGTGGAGGGGAGAAGGGCAAAAATAGGGAATTTGAGGAGGTTCTGTGTGCCTCATTCCTTGAAGGCTTTGTCTCTTATTTTCCCTGGCTTCCTTCGACTCCTCTCAAATATCACCTTCTACAAAAGGCCTTTCTGGGGCAGCTAAGCGGTGCAGTGGATAGAGCACTGACCCTGAAGTCAGAAGGACCTGAGTTCAAAGCTGGCCTCAGATGAAAGTCTTGACACTTACCAGCTGTGTGACCCTGGGCAAGTTGCTTAACTCCAATTGCCTAAATATTTTAAAAATAAATGAATTTTCAAAAGGCCTTTCCCATCCTTCCAGATGCTAATAATGCCTCCCCCCCCCCCAGACTGCCTTCTATCTACTCTGTATCTTGTATTTACCTCATATTTTTTATGTGTTATCTCTCCCATTAGAATGTAAACTCTGAGGATACGGGCTTTTTTTGGACTCTTTTGCTATCTTCAACACTTAGCACAGTGTTTGTCTGGCATATACTATGCACTCAATAAATACTTACTGACTAAGTGATTTGTGGATTTTTCAAGATTCAGTATTATCCCAAGGTGAATGCTCCTTCTCTTTCTCTATCCTCTTCTTATCTTTCCTCTTTCTTTTCCCTGCTTCTTAAGCCAAGAGCTTCTCCATCCATCCCATTTCCATCATTGTATATAGTCAACTCATTAGAACAGTGAGACCCTTGAACTTTTTATTTATATAGATTGCTGCACTTTGAAGCCAGAAGGCCTGTATCCTTCTATTTGCCAAATGTGTAACCTTGAGTAAGTCTTTTCAACCCTCTGAGCCTCAGTTTTCTCATCTGTTAAACAGCAGTAACACTATTTGTACTACCTACCTCACAGGATTACTTTAAGGATCAAATGATCGAATCAATATAAATAGTAATCATATGAACAAGAATAGTTTACAAATTTATACAGTGCTTTATATGGGGTGTTCGAAAAGTCTTAATTCAGTTTTAAGCTATTAAAACTGTTATTATCTCATTTATAGAGTGCTTTGTAAGACTTAAATCCTATAAAATTCAACTATTATTATTACAGGCAGTAGAAGAGATGTACTTACTTACATATGTTAGCATATTCAAATATGTGCATTTACATGAGACCTTGCTTAGCTGGGTAATCTTTTTGACAGTATAAAAGAAAGGACCATTTAAAAAGTCATCTACTACTAAGAGATCTGACTACATGCTATGGAGGTTCATCCTGTGGAGCTTGGGCAGTCTGGTTAATAGCTTCCTTTGCCTCTTTAATAATACCTGAAAGTTTGTATATTTTAAACATAAAATGATTAAAAGTAAAATATCTGTCCTTGTCAGAGACCCTGCTGGTGGGAAATCAGATGCAGAGAATCCCTGCTATATGATATGATACCCTCTGTCATCCTCTGTTTTTTGACAAAAAGTTGTTAAGGATGTGAAATCTGGCAATGAAGCCCAAGGTGATTATCTTAATAGAGATACAGTTATGCTACAAAGTGTGCATAAACCTGCTAAAATGGATTAATGTATTGTCTTAAATGCGGGAAAGAATTTAAATTTCACAGAACAAGCTCTTTCAGACTCCATGAGAGATTATCGTTTTTTGTCCCTTGAATTATTTCTAGTACGGCTTCACAGGAGCCTGAGTTACTCTGTGCCTCCTCTTAAGAATGGAAATAGGTTCTTCTGGGCATTGCTCACAGAATAGAATTTTTGTTTTCCCTTTGCTCCTCAAGGATGAGAATTAGAGACACTTCCTCTCCCAGCAGTCAGATTCCCAGGAATGGAGTATTAATTTTCTAGGTATTTCTTATGCTTTGTAGTTATTTTAAATTTAACCTTCCTTCCTGTTAATGCCTCCTGTGTTTTGCTGTGACCAATTACAAATGGTGCTGATGAACACTTGCAACACTGACAGATGGGAGGTTAGAGATGGCAAATTTTTTCAAACTATCATCTTAACGATGAGGTTCCCATATGATTTTCTAAGGAAACTATCATGTCATCATCAAACTGAGATAGTTCTATATCCGCCTTGTCTTCTTTCTCTCGTGCTCTTATTTCTCTCTCTGTCTCTGTCTCTCTTTGTTATTGCTAACATGTGTAGAATTTTTTGTTTTAAAGATGAGAAAGGGGGCTATCCTAATATTTACTAGGAAAGCTTCAAGGGTTGCCCCACTGCTAAAATGGTAACTTTTGGTTTCATATATAGTGATAAGAATTAGACCTCTGATTACACTGGTATAGGAGATTTCCAGATGAGGAAACTCCCTCTCCCAATGCACGATGGCACCTTCTCTGTAATTTATAATCTAAGAGACTTTCCTAGAGTACTGAGAGGTTGGCTAAGTGATTTGCCCAGATCACACTGTCAGTATATATCAGAAAGGGAATTTGAATCCAGAGCATTAAAGAACTGAAGGGAATCATGGAGGCTATTGGTTCTAAAATTCTCATTTTACAGATGAGGAAACTGAGGCAAGAGATAAGTTATTTGCCCTGGATGAAACAGCTAATAAGTGTCAAGGGCAGAACTTGAACATAGCTCCAAAGCCTATCTCTCTTTCCACAGTACATTTGGCCCAAGTAGATAGCTGTCTCCTAATATCTCAATTCTAGAAGTGATTTATTTTAGTTAATTTTCATTGGAATACCATGATTTCCACCTGACTTGTCACAAACACAATTAGATGTGGTAAGTATTTAGAAAACTAGTGTTAAATCACACATTGAGCAGGTGGAGAGAAATTTAAAGTTCTGGATTTCATAGGAGTAACCCATTGAAGGAAGCATAACCTAGGTAAATGACTAAAAGGAAACATCAGCTCTATTTTACAGAAGGGATTTGAAACCTTGCCACATGGGGATTCAAGGAGTTACTACTGCCTAATGAGCCTCAAGAATGTAAACAATTAGAGGGAGACATGATAATAGCCATCAGATATTTGAAAGATGGATCCAAACTAGAGAGAATTCGGTTGTATGACTTGGCTTCAGCGGGCAGGAATAAGTGTGGTAAAGATTTCAACTCAGGGAGAAACCTTCCTAACCATTTACCAGTTACACGTGCACAAAAGTGGCATGGTTTATTCTGTGAGAAAGTGTTTTCTCCCTAATGAGAGGTGGGCAAGCTCAAGCTGGATGCCTACTTGTCCTCATGATGTTGAATAATGGATTTATCCATCAGGCAAGGAATTGGATCAGGTGACCTGCAGAGTCCCTTCTGATTCTAGAATGCTGGGTTATATCTCCATGGAGTTATAACACAACAAGAGCATAGCGATCAAACTTCACCTATACGTGCTGTTCCTAATAGAAGCTTTAACTGTTATTTTTCTCCCTACCTTTAGTCTGAGTTTAAGAAAGTATAGAATAGTTACATTAGGATTAGTTAGGATTAGTTATTAGTTGATATTTTTTCTTCGTTTTAGCATTTGAGTTTTATCATTATTAGTTATTTGTTATCAGTTATCAGTTATTTGTTCTTTGCTATTATCAGTTATTAGGTATTTGTTATTTGTTATTATCAGTTATCTGTTATTTGTTACTATCAGTTATTAGTTATTTGTTATATCATTATTATTAGTTGTTAGTTATTATTTGTTATTAGTTAGTAGTTGCCATTTTTCCTTGTTTTGCCATTTGAGCTATATCACAATAGAGTTATATCACTGAGTTATATCATCATTATTAGCTGTTAGGGTTTTTTTTTATTGCTAGTAGTTGCCATTTTTGTTCTGTATTTGAACCTCCACACAATATCCCAATCTCAGAAGTGATTGAATTTTAATTCCTTTCCTGTGGAACACCATGTTTTCGAAGCGAAACCTCATGAAAACAATTCGGCGTGGTAAGTATTACATCATTGACTTGCACAGGCTTGAGTGTACATGTGGTCATAGTAGTGGTAACCATTGCTTGAAACAGAGCTGTCTCTATTCCCAGATTATTAGCTGCCACCTTTTCTCCTTGTCTCTACTTCTGAGTTATATCACAATGGACTTGTGTCACTGAGGTATATCACAACACCGTAATAACCATAGAATTTCAGATATATGTGTGCTATTACTAAAAGAGAAAGAAGCTTTACTTAACCTGTGATTTTTCTCCCTACTTTCCACTCAGTTCATGAAGCAACAGAATACTGCCATTCTCATTAGCTCTTATTTGTAATTATCTGTTATTATTAGTTAAGAGTTGCCCACTTTGAGCTTATCTCTGCACATCTCATTTGAACCTTAATGCAATGCGTGCTTTATTGTTAATATCCCAGTTCTAGAACGAATTTATTTTACTTCATTTACTTTGGAACAGCATGATTTCCACCAGACATCTTATGAACACAATTAGAAGGAGTATGTATTAGCAAAGGAACTTCTCTAATTAAAATATTCATTTCAGAGGGGGAGAGAATTTCTAAAATTCAGGATTTCATAGGAGAAACTCATGTACCTTTATCATTTCAATCATTTCAACAAGCATAACCTAGGTTAATGACTGCAATGTAACATCAGGTTCCTGTTACACAGGGGGTTTGAAACCATGCCACATGGGGATTGAAGGAGTTCCTGTTGCTTATCCTCAAGAATGCAACCAGTCAGAGGGAGACATGAAAGTGGCCTTCAAATCTTTGCAAGATGGTCGCAAGCGAGAGAGAGAATAATACCGTGGTATTACTTGGCTTCAGTGGGCAGGAATAAGTGTGGTACAGATTTCAACTCAGGGAGAAACCCACCTAACTATTTACCAGTTACACATGCACAAAAGGGGCATGGTTTATTCTGTGAGAAAGTGTTTTCTCCCCAGTTACAGGTAGGTAAGCTGAAACTGGATGCCTACTTGTCCTCATGATGTTGAATAATAGATTCATCCATCAGGCAAGGAATTGGATCAGGTGACCTGCAGAGTCCCTTCTAGAATGCTGGGTTATATCTCCATGGACTTAGAACAGAACAAGAGCATAGCATAGTGATCAAACTTCACTTATACACGCTGTTCCTAATGGACTTAGAAGTGTTGTACTGTTATTTTTCTCCATATCTTTAGTGTGAGTTTAAGAAAGTACAGGATAGTTGCATTAGTATTAATTAGGATTAGTTATTAGTTGATATTTTTTCTTAGGTTTAGCATTTGAGTTCTGTCATTATTTGTTGTTAGGTATTCATTATTATCAGTTATTAGTTACCATTGTTTCCTTGTTTTGGCATTTGGGCTACATCACAATAGAACTGTATTACTGAGTTATATCATTATTATGAGTTGTTCATTATTATTTGTTATTAGTAGTCAGTAGTTGCCATTTTTCCTTGTTTTACCATTTGAGCTATATCCCATGAGAATTCTATCACTGATTTATATCATCATTAGTAGTTTTTAGTATTGTTTTGTTATTATAATTAGTAGTTAACATATTTTGATGTTACTTGAACCTCCAAACAATATCCAAAATATCCCAATCTTCGAAGTGATTGAATTTTAGTTCCTTTCCTGTGGAACACCATGTTTTCGAACCGCAATCTCATGAAAACAATTAGACGCGGTAAGTATAACATCAGTGACTTGCACAGGCTTGTGTGTAGATGTGGTGATAGTGGTGGTAACCATTGCTGGAAACAGAGCTGTCTCTTATTCCCAAGTTATTAGCTGCCATCTTTTCTCCTTGTCTCTACCTCTCAGTTACACCACAACGGAGTTATGCCACTGAGTTACATCACAATGCAACTGTAGTCATCAAATTTCAGTTTTTCATATACATATATATATATGTGTATATATATATATATATATGCTATTCCTAACAGAGATAGAAGCTTTACTTAGACTGTGATTTTTCTCCCTCCTTCTACTCTGAGTTTAATAAAGTACAGAATAATTTCATCAGTATTAGTTATTGTTGGTTACTAGTTGCCATGTTTTCCTTCTTTCAGAATTTGAACTATACCACAATAGAATTATATCACTGAGTTGTATCATTGTTAGTTGTTAGTTACTATTTGTTATTATTAGTCATTCGTTACCATGTTTCTTTGTTGCTCCATTTAAGTTATATCACAATAGAGTTATATCACTGCTTCATATCATCATTCTTGGTCGTTAGTTATTATTTGTTATTGTCAGTTTTTAGTTGCCATTTTTATCCTTATTTGAATCTCCACACAATATCCCAATAACATCCCAACCCTAGAAGTGACTTACTTTCAATTCATTTTCCTTGGAACACCATGATTTTGAGCCAAAATCTCATGGAAACTATTAGACTTACTAAGGATCACTCATTGACTTGAAAAGGCTTGGCTGTCGATGTGGTGATGATGGTGGTAGCCACTGCTGGAAATAGAGCTCTCTCTATTCCCAAGATAGCAGTTGCTCTTTTTTCTCCTTGTCTCCACCTCTGACTTATCCCAATGCAATCATAGCCACAAAACTTCAGTTCAGTATATTTTTTGCTCAGGAAGCCTCTTTGAACACCCCTCAAATGACACTGTCTAGGCAGCTGCTTCTGTAATGATAGATGTGTAACTAACCCTGAGTAAGACACAGACTGAAATTCTAAGATGAGGGAAGGCAGAACACAAGCATTTCCGTGTGAGACAGCTGTCTGAGAGCTTTCCAAAGATGACTTCACTTGATCCTCACCCCAACCCTGCAAGATACCCTCATTTGAAAATTGAGGAAAGGGAGGCAAACGGGTTGAATGACTTGGCCAGGATCACACAGCTAGGCAGTGTCTAAGGCCGTATTTGGGCTCTGCTCTTCCTCATTGCAGGCCCAGTATTCCATCCCCTGTGCCACTTAGCTGAATGTGGCGGAAAGGATCTCATCCGAGGGGAATCCCTCCCCAACTCTCAGATTCTTTGTGGAAATGGTCTGTTATGGACACCCAAAGTACTACAATGAGCTGCATTCCAAGGAAACAGGCCCTTGTATTCTAACTAGGAGAATGTTCTTGAAGTACTCAGTCGACATAGGATGATCATATTGTCTGAGAATAGGTCAATATGGTATGGATCTGTGATTTTGTCAGTATGAAAAACAAACCCAGATGACTAGCTTAAAAGTGATGTCTTAGATCATCAGGGTGGGTAGGAACCAGGTTAAAATGTCATTGGGAAATATTTCACAAAATACATAAAAATTGAAGAAAACATAGATGGTAGTTAATATGGAGTTTTCTAAGTCATTGTGCTGACACAGGGATCCTTATGTACTGTTTAGTGGCCCCTATTTCTATTTGAATTGGACACCATCTTAGAGATAGATTCCAGAGGCTTAGAAGTGAGGGGATCTGTCCATTGTCACAATGCTCGTAGTGTCAGAGGCTAGATTAGAACTCACTTCTTCCTGATTCCTAGCCCAGGATTATAAGCATTTTGTCACACTGCCTCTCCATCATAGAATAGTCATAGTAAGAATAAGAATAAGAAATAAAACTTAAGAGACCTTAACATTTCCATAGTATTGAATAGGTTATACGTGGTTTTGCGTAGACATCATATTACTTAATATTACTTCCGTGCAAGGTACTACGGTAACCTCCATTTATTTCACTGATGAAATTTGGTGGTGTACGTAGGGTTCGTAGGTCCAATCCCAAACTTTTTCTGCATTTGAGGGTCCTAGACTTCATAACCTTATTTTATTTTATTTTTTTAATTTGTGGTAGAAAACAAGCATTTCTAGAGCATAGTACAATCAAAAAGATGACCCCAAAAAGAGACAAATATGTTTTGTCATCTGTCAGCATTGGGGCTAGGACAGTAACAGGATGAAGTAGTCAAGGAATGAATTCCAGGACCTAGAGTTGAATGATCATGGCTGGATCTAGTAAGTATGAAGAGTTTAGGAATCCAGAAGCCAGCCTCACTTCTGTAGGTACCATGGGCTCAGGTAAAGCTGCATTCCATTCCGTAATTATAAAGCAAACAGTGCAGATAAGGTGAGGTGACTAGGAAAAGAAGCACTTAGTGCACACATGGGGTAGAAAGGTTTAGGAGCAGCACAGGCAGAGGCAGCCAAAGAATGAATGGAGGGCCAAACTGAGAGATGATGCCTGAGTCTAAGGGATCTGTCACCAAGTCTCAGCAACACAAGCTGGTGTGTGGAGAACACAATGGAAGGAACCCAGGTATCGAAAGCCTAGACAAGCAGGAGTGAGCATGACAAGGAAGACACAGGAGGTGGGAAGAAAAGACAGAAAAGGGCTGAGTAGGGCATAGGAGGATAATTCACTGCCTCTCTTAGTGGACCTTAAGGTTTCTTGGCTACTGCATCCCACTGTGAACTCATGTTAAGCCTGAAGTCCACTTAGCTCCTTAGATCTTTGTCAGACAAAGTGCTGTGCAGCCATGCTTCCCACATCGGCCATTTGTGAAGTTGCTTTTTTAAAAACCCAAATGTCAAGCTTTATGCTTTTCCCTACTAAGTTTATCTGACTTGATTTAGCCCCCTATCTTAGTCTGCATGTTCTCTGAATACTCTCTCTGCAATACAGCGTGTTAACTTTGAGAAAAATGTTAAATCACATAGGACAAAGCACAGATCTGTGCGCAACTCCACGTGAGACTTGCTGCCAAGTTGCCTTTGGAATGTTAGTGACAAGAGTCAAAACAATTCCATCTGCTCTGAATCCCTGTAATTATACAATTGTACTATAGCCTGTAACTCTTAATATTCTCCATGAGTATAGCACTAGAGGCTTCTTCAATGCTGTGCTAAAATCTAGGGAAACCCTTTCCACATAATTCCCTTGATCTAGCAGTTGCATAATTCAAGGAAATATGGTTAGTCTAGCAAAATAGGTAGGGTTTTTCAAATTTGTGTTGCGATAACTTTTTTTTTAAATTTCACATTCACAAACACCCATACACATCTATACACATCCATAGAAATGCACACACATAGACATATATAGATTCATATATGTGTATGATAGATGGATGTTTTAGGAGTACAGCCTTTGCAAGATACACAAACTGGCCAAAATACAATATACTCTTTGTTATAACATAGAACCTATCTGGGGCATAGAAATGTTCTTTCACATTAATAAGTGGCCTTTGCTGTGCTGTGTGTTGATGAGAAACAATGGCCTCTCCTCTGCTCAGTTCTTCTAGGGTGTTGCGGCCTTTTCAAACGTAAGAACAGAAGGCTTGACATTTCTGCTCCGTTCAATTTTCAACATCGAGTCCACACAGTATTCCTTGAAGGAGATGGTAAATTTGTGGGACTACCTGTGCAGTGGAGCCCCTTCATGGAACAGCCAGTGAAAGAAGAACCAGACAGAGCAGATCCTTCATCTGTCACACCCCTTCTCAGGCCTTGTAAGTATCCTCTACTCTAGCCTATATCTCTCAGTATTCTCCGCGGGTATAGCACTAGAGATTTTTTCAATGTGCTAACATCGAGGTAAACACTCTCCAGGTAATTCCCCTGATCTACCTAGTGATTTTGAAAATGTTGGCTGAATTGAATGAGTTTAGATTAATTGAATACCACATGTCTCCTGGTAAGCAGCCAACTTGCTAGTCTTGGAGAGGTAACAAAATGCCCTTTGCCCCAAAGTCCCCAGCTTCCCAGGTTGGTATACTGTCTGAATTTCACCAAATGATCCATACCTTGAAGTTAAGGAACATTGGAAAGCCTTTTGTGCTATCCCCAGTGTGTCGTCAGGAAGAAGGAGCAATTCCGACCCATCTGACATGAATACCTCCGTAGAAATTAAGTTATCACAGAAGTACCAAGATAGAAGGACAGGTAAGGAAGATCCAGGATGCTACACATAGAATGCAGGCTTAAGGGGAACACTGTTCTTAAGTGGCTGTGAGAAGCTTAGGGGAGAATGGAGAGGTGGGGAGCAGATAGGTGAGGGCTATACAACTACAAAGATAAATTGAAAGAAGGGCCCAGAGAGTAACCTTTTTGTATTTTGTAGCCTGCACATGTCCTTGGATGTACACCCATTGCAGGATTTGCTGGCTGGACATAATGTATTATATGTTATACTATATAATCGACATATAACCTATCTAGGGTATATACACGTTTGTTCACAGTTAACAAGTGGCCTTTACTCTGGTGTATGATAGTGAGAAACAATGGCTTCTCCTCTACCCAATTTTTCTAGGGTGTTGCATCACCCATGGCAGCACAAAGAAGATGAGGCTGGAGATTTCTAAACCCTGCAATTTCCAGCACAGCGTGCACATGGAGTTTGATCCTGAACATCATATCTATACAGGACTGCCGCTGCAGTGGCGCAGCTTAGAGGCAGAGATAGCAAAGCAGGCCAAAGCAGACCCACCATCCAGCACAACCTCACAACTTGCTGCCTTGAAGGTACTGTGATAGTGGTGGTCCTCTGTTCACTTAGGATTTCATTTGTCTGCTTGTATTTAATTTTAGCACCCATATTTAGGGACAATTGGATTTTTTCTGGAGTGATAGTTTCTGGAGTTTTAGAGGTCAAGAAGAGAGAGTGTGAGAATGATTTACTGCTTACTCCTCCATCTTGGTGAGTATACTCAAGGAAACTGGGATAGAGCAAGTGAAACAGGAGAAGTGAAACTTAGGAAAAGACTAGTACTACAAGGAAGAAAAGAGGAAAATAATGAGTTAGTGAAATATTTCAAAATACATAGAGGAAATTATACTATAGCCCATAAGTGGACACACAAAGGGAGGACCTTTTTATTACTACTTAACACTCAGAGTTTGAAAACATGTGTGTGATAGAAGTTCAGTTTCATAGACAATCTCCTCTATACCTTTTCAAATGTTCAAAAGGGAAATGTTTTTAAAGACTGTGATGCAGTTTTTGGAAACCAAACTAATAATAGGGACAACATGCTGGTTGAAAAGAAGTACAGGGGATGGATGCAAAAGAAATTAGTGGAAGAAAACACAAAGCTAATTACTAAATGTATAGATAGGAGTGGATAAAATTTCCCCTGAAAAAAAAAATAGAATAGATAAGGCAACAAACTCAGCCAAAAAGTTGCTACATACCAAAACACTTTGACATAAAACCACAGACAGAAGAAACATTGGATTCTCTAATCCAAGGGCAGGGAACCTGATACTCTAAGGCCCCATGTGGCCTTCTAGGTCCTTCAGGGAGACCTTCTGCCTGTATCCAGATTTTATAGGACAGAAGGATTTCTTCTATAAATTTGGATCTAGTCAAATGGCTGCACTGAAAGACCTAGAAGGCCACAGGTTCCCCATCCCTGCTTAATCATTTAGTCCCACTACCCATCTTCATAGGAGCATTTATCCCAAGATCACAGAGGAAATATGTGGTAGAACTTGGATTCAAAACGAAGCCAACAATATCCATCAGTTTTCTCTTTGGGGGCTGGTAGAATTAGTTAACCCTCATGCAATGGAAGATTTGTAGGACAAGTCAGGCAAGCTGATCCTGAAGTCTCCACCATTTATTCTTCTCTGCAGTTCCCATACCCTCTTGCCCCTACAAATAAATAAGTGAGTCATTTTACTCAGCTGGTTTCCCCACAGAAGGCCTGAAACAAACAAACAAACAAAAGCAAAACACATCATCAGAGGTAAGCATGAGTCATAGAAAGGTGGCCAAAAGAGGGAGAATATTTGGCTGAAGATGTATACCACAGTGCACTGACATGCTTTGTAGATTTGCTTTTTGAGCCTACAGGAAATAAATCAGATGTAGAAGAATCACACTTTTAGCACTGGGTTGCAACACAGCTGTGTCCTTCCCTATTTCCTCACATCACCCTAGAGCACAGTTGGGCTAATGTCCAGAAATGACCATCTTTGACTCCTTACATATGTGTGCAGAGGACACTGCCTTCGAGAAGAGGGGGGCAGGGCAGGAAACTCACTCTGGGTAGGGATCAAGGGGATCTATTCTTCACTGTGCCTAATCTATTTTGGACTCTTAAACATATGAAATCGGATTTGCACAGAAGTACTTGACCACATTCGCATACATGATCAGTTCTTATTTTGATACCACATGGTAAGCTCCTCGAGGGCAAGTTCCTTGCCACATCTAATCTTTGTTCTAAGAAATTGCTCTACAACCAATAGGAAATGAATACATGCACGTGAATATACATCTCTCTCTTTCTCTCCACACATATATATTATATATATATACACACACACACACACACACATACATATATATATGTATGTGTGTACGCATGCATGTAAGTATACATGTTTTCTGTGTGTGCCTATGTGTGTACTCATGCATGTATACATTTATGTAGTCATAGTATACTGTGTATATGCATGTGTTTATGTTATATACCTGAACATTTCTGTAATTATAATCTCATACTATGTGAGGTTATGAGTTTATGCTTGCTCCTCCTGTTTAGTTCTTTATAGTTTCTTAAGGTTGAGGAGATGGAGTAATGCTTCTTATGGCCTCCTCTCCCTGTTCTGTCCAAGTATGTGGTTTGAAGAATTTCTTTCCCATATTGGCTATTTTGATTGGCAGCCAACGACACAGTGATTTAGTATGTTTGACAAAGGCTAGTATACAAGCATGTTCAATAAGTTTCTGGCTTTTCAAAAAGACATTTTGCATGTTTCTAGTCCTGGTCTAACTGTACTTTAGCCAGGGAGATTTCCCTTTTTTCTCCTGATTGCATCCTTTAGGACAGTTTCTACCCATCCCAGATGTTCATCTGGTTAAGAATCTTGTACAGAATGAACATGTTTTCCCTCCCCTATCCACAAAGTGGTTATCTCAGAAAAGAGAAGGGTACAAGCTTGTTGGTGTATATGATATTCTAGCTGTTTTCAACTGGCATCCTAGGTCTGTTACGCACAGACTGAATTATTTTGAGTAAATAAACCTATATCAGTCATTTGAGAAGCAGATCCCCGGAAACGCTCTACTGGAAAAAAAATGCAGCCTAATTGCCAGAAGTTACACCCCTGTGTGGAGTATAGAAATGCTGGGAACTAAGTGTTGTGGTAGGCAGGGTGCTGGACCTGGAATTTGGAACCACCTGAGTTCAAATCCTTTCTCACATGCTTGCCACGTAGATGTTACTGAGTGATAGAAGGAGGAGAACTTGCAAGTGGCAATGGGGTGCAAGGAGTATTCCAATTTCCCTGCCTCAAGCAGTTAGCCAAGGAGAATGAGTGCAGCCAGTACTGGAAGGGGTGGCCAGGGAGACTATGTCATTAGGGGAAATCTAGGTTTCAATACTACCTAGTAAGTGGAAGAAGTGGGAGAGGAATAGATTTAAGATGAAGGCAAGCTTGTTGCTTGTGGAACAGGAATTCCACAGGGCACAGCAGAAGAGCTGAGTGGAGTTGGAACGAAACTTTGGAGTAAGAGGGTTGAAGGGGATGGGAAAGAGGAATCAAGTGGTGGGGCGTATGGAATAGGATTTGGGTGATGATCTATGCGAGTTCAGAGTCACTGGGAAATGAAGGGTATGACCACGTGTGAGAATGTTCATCGTTAAGTAGAGCGCATCATCCTCTACCCTAAAGAGACAGGTGTTGTAGCAGGAAATGGGAGGCCTGAAGTTGAAGGGAAGGTGGCTCTTCTTTGCACTGGAGGGTCTCCAATTGGCAACCAATTGGCAGCAGGAGGTGGAAGATGCCTTGTGCTGGTAGAGATGAAAGTGACCGCTTTGGGGTAGATAGAAGATGCTTGGCCTCCAACCTTGAGAGCCTTTCTTCAGAATACGCTGAGCCCGAGAGCATTCATGTCTGTGCCAGTTTGTTTGGTGAAAGTGTAGTTTCCGTGAAGCCTTGAACTTCAAGGCTAAGCCACCATTTTCTATCGAGCCAAAAAGTCTTAGAGAATGGACTCACTGACAATTGTTTACATACAAGTTGTCCAAGGACCAGCCAAGAGGAATTCTGCGTTGCTCATCATCTTCTTGGTAGAATGTGAAATTTTAGGTCACAGCAACTTTCCATCATAAAGGAGATTTATGCAATCTGTGTCCATGGAGGAGGGGATAACCAAAATGACGAAATCATAGACCCTTTGAAATATTGAAGTTCTGAAGCCAGGATCATAGCATAGATCGGAATGTGTAGACAGTGACCTTTCCCAGAAAGGAAGCCTGTTTTGTAGTTGTCATAAGCTTTCTTCCTGTAGACAAAAGAAGCCATAGTAATCAGTGGAATTGTCTTGTTGCACCTATGATGGTTGAGATGACAAATTATCCATATTTGGTCAAGCCTGTCTGATTCTGGTTCATGTCTTCTTAAAAAGGCATCATAGAAACAGCCTACTCCTGGTTCATTTAATATTTTGTGGATGCCTAGAATGCTTAAGTTGTCTAACTACTTTCACTTTCACTCTATGATTACATGACCTCCTTTTCCTCTCGTAGAAGTCCTTGATAATGATTTTCATTCAGGTTATCATTGGTATATTTCTATCCTCTATCCATGTCTTTCCATTGCCTTTTCGTTCATCGACAATTTGGAATGTATTTCTTTCATGCCTTCATAACTGCGCCAGGAGATTGTTGATGTTGAAGGAATGAACCATTGTGTGGGAGCAGCTGCAAATCACAGAAAGCATTGCACAATTTCCTAAATGCAACCAGATTATTATTTTCCACTTCCTAGTCAACTTTCAGGCTCTCTGCAGTGCATGGCCTATTTATGTAAACTGCTGGACAAACCCAGTCGTCTACCAGTCCAATTGCATGTCGTCATCTGAGCAATACACTTTCTTCATCCACTTGGTTTGTCATGTGCAGACTGCTAACCAGACTTTGGGGCACATTGAAGAAGATCCTATGCCAGTCTGAAGTTTGATGTAATCAGAACAGTCAATGGCATTTGAATTCAGAGAAGTTACACTAGCAGTCCTAGGCCAGGAGAACTAGTAATCAACCATGGCATTCTGCTTTCAGGAAAGAAGGAGGTATCTGTACACAGAGAATGCTGTATATGCTGTTAGATGCAATTTCCCTCTTAGCTTTGCTGAAATTTCCTTTGTTAACAGCAAGGATTCAAACAATGATTTCTTGCAAAACTTTGAGATTCAATCCCTTAAAAAATCCTTACAAGGAATCACCGTCACATTTACTTTGTCCTATTTTGCAGACTCCATGTTTCTTCTTTTGAAAAAATCATGACATTTTACCCTCTTCAATAGGACATGTTCTATTGTCCACAATCTTTCCCAAACACCTGATGGTGCCTCAACAAGCAATCACATCTGCCAGTTGTTTCAGTGCATACAATATAGTACATCTGAGCCAGCTGACCTGAACTTTTCAAGGACTACTACTAGGTCATATCTTAATATATCTTTACTTTGAAGCTTGGTTATCGATTCCAGAGAGGTGGCATGGCATAGTGGA